TCTCATTAGTCTTTTATTATTTCCTCACATTGTTTGAGAAAAGTTCTATACATACCTCGGCGGGAACGGGGATTTTTTTTTATAATACTAAATGACGGGACGAACAAGTCGTGTGACAACACTGAGACATAAGTCGACAAGTCCCATGTGCCTGTAATTTCACCAGCACCCTTACCTTTCGAAACCGGAACGCAGTAATGCTTACATTACCGAAATAGGCAAGGTGGCAGTACTGCCCTGGACGAACTCTTTCACAGGGAGCTCTAATGCTACTAAATCGTATTATTACAAGGCGTCTCTGGCGCTCGTGCTTGTAATTCATACTCGTCCAGCAATCTCTTACTTCCCGGCCTCTGCAATAATGTACTATATAAACTAACATCCATAACTATATAAGAAAACACTGCTTACTAATTATTTACACGTATTGTAGTAAGTGTAAGCAATGGCTATTTAACATACAGAAATCACAATATTGCTGAAGTAAATTGACGTCGTAATTGCATTATAACGTAGCAAATACTTTCTTTATTTTAAGTTTTTTAACCGACTTCAAAAAAGGAGGAGGTACTCAATTCGACTGTATGTTCTTTTTTGTGTGTATGTTACGCGATAACTCCGGTATTTGTGAACCGATTTTCATGATTATTTTTTTGTTGAAAAGGAGGTACTTCCATAGTAGTCCCATTTCATTTTGAAAAAAATCATCCACCTCTAAGGGTGGCTATTCACGCATGAAGATTCACTTTTATAAATAGCGTCTAACTTTAATTTAGGAGCAATTACTTTAATGGTTGATTTTGCTATTTCTTCCATTCAAGGCGTTTTTCTCTCAATATACTTTGAGTAGTGTCGTAGTGAGGACCTATTTTTATTATCTCCAGCGTCAAGTCCTGTATAGTGGCGAACTAGGGGATATTTCAATGAAACTTAGCAAATAGACGTAATTCCACGTACTTTTGAGGTCGGTTTTTTTAGTACTCTGCACTGAGATTATCATTATCTTTGTCACTGTAAGTTTAAAAGTGTGTAAGAAGTTTGTAATATAATATTGTGGGTAGTTTCATGTGTGTGGGTTGTTTATAAAATAAACCAGTGTTAAACCATCGCCATCTCCACCGAATGTCTCTATAGAAATGTCAAAGGAACGAACTGCACGAATGCCGATAAATTTAATTTTTGGCACATCTTGAGATTAAAAGTGTAACCTACTTAAATACCCGTGTAAATTTTTATTGAATTGATATTCAATTATTTTTTATGTCAAATTACTCCAGTAGTTTGTTAGAATTATTAATACAACGACGAACACTCAGAAAAAAATCCTTCAATCCGGCCGGATTCGAACCGACGTCTTCTAGCACACCGTGGCAGACGCTATACCAATTAATCCACGGGACGAACCCGCAGACCTCACGAATTTTTCTATGTGCTTGTTGTCGTGTTTTTGTATTTGGTTTTCCAACAACTACGAGACAACTATGAGAAATCTATGAAAATATTTCGTCACCCAGTTAGATATCTTCACAGCTTCCAGCCCCGACTAGAGATGTCGCTATTCACTGTATTTTAAATTTTTATTGAATTGATATTCAATTTCTTTTTTATGTTAAATTACTCTACTAGTTTGTTACAGTTATGAATATAAAGATCGAAAACTCAGAAAAAAATATTTGATATAGCGTCGGGTATGGTATGCTAGAAGACTTCGGTACGAATCCGGCCGGATCGAAGAAATTTTTTTCTGCGTGTTGGATCTTTGTATTAATAATTATATCAAATTAGTTAAGTACATTTATCATTTTAATCTGTTTAAAAGTATAGATATATATCCAATCTTAGAATAATAACGCATAGAATGATAGTTTCATATCAAAGGAACTGTCACAAGTGAGGCAAAAATCAAATTCATGTAGGCTAGTTTTAGTAGTAGGTTAATTTTAGGTTATAGTGAATATTTATAGTATAAAAATGCAAGTTGAAACGCGTTACTTCCTTGTGGAATGTTATGTCAGTATCTATTTTATGTTTGTCTGACGTATTTTTACACTCATTTACCGCACATTTCGTCATTTTTAGCTAAAATTCTGGAGCTGTTCGCGGTGCAAGTTGATCTTGAGCGCTGAAGGCCCGCCCGCTCGTGTAGCGCCCATTGGGAGTGCTTCAATTTGCCTCACTTAGCGTGTGCGGACTAGGTTTCTATGCGTTATTATTCTAAGTATCATGATACCATTGTATCAATTCTAAAAATTATACTTAAGCTGTGCATTAAATTTAATTTTCATTGTTGTAAGTTTTTTTTTTTCTTCTTATTACAAGATTTTTTCTTTTCTTTTTGTTTATATTCCTAAGGGTAAATATGTAATATAATATTGTGCGTAGTCTTATGTGTGTAGGTTGTTTATAAAATAACGTATTTCACTACAAAGTTGAAAACTGTTCCAGTGGCTTTCGTATCCGGTATTTAGAGTTCTTTTACATGTAATATATATACTCGAGTGCTCATCGAAATAATGAATTAATTTTAAGCATGCCCTTCAAATTAAAAGTCGAAAATTCTTGTGAAGTTTGATAATAGTTAGCAGCGGTTGTATATGTATGAAGGTGGAACCTGATAATCAGGATGTAGTGCTGAGGTTAAATCCTTTTTTTTTTTAATTTATTGGGGTCAACAAACAGTTACAGATTACACATTGTACATAGCTATAACTAACACCGTTAACCACAGAGTACTTGAACAGTTGTACAGTTTTAGTAAACACTCACAAATAATGCCAACACTAAATCAGTAGCACAGTATAATTATGGAGGTATGCATAAACAGGTGCCCTTCCAATAGACACATCGATCTATGAGAGTATTTACGACAATACATTTACTTTTATATATATATATAATGTAGAGAATTCGTCCAAGCCAATGCGCGGATGTGAGCCAAAGTGGATGCATATCCACTAGAAAAAATATGCATATACATGTATATAAATAGTTTCCACTAACTGTGATATTTATACTATATATATCGTGTGTCTTTTGAAATAAGTAGAATTTTATCTATATAAATATATACTTACGCACTGATGAAGGAATTTTATTAGTTAATTGATTTTTTAATTTAAAATAATCAACATTTCATTAGCACTAGATTCCACATTTCCGAAACTGTTAACCTTTAATTGTAAATGTGCTTATGAATAAATATGATTAGCTGCGATGTGTAACGCAACATGGGTGACCTTTATGAAGGTCGACAGGTGTTGAGTTGGTACTTTCACCATACCATGATCATCCACAGCCTGATTTCACCCACTGCTGAGTATAGGCCTCCCGGAGTTTGTGCCATCCATCACTTGACGACCATTGCCGCCCTAGGACGCGTACTATGAATAAAATTCACATTGTCGCGGAACCCCAACTGCTCGACACTGAGGGTAGCATTCGCTTTCACCCGTATATGATCACAATATTCGTAGACTTTGTGGAATAATTTATATATATAATAGGCCTTTAAATTAAACCTAATGCAGCGTAAATTATGCTACTCATAAAACTCTACAAGAAATCTGAAGACTACGCTCGTCTGGCTTCACTCTAAGTAGCAATCAAGATTATATAAAAGTAATGTTATACCTAGCGCTTCCATTAATGACGAAAAATCATTTCACAATAAGTAAACGACAAAGTAATTTCAACTGTAACCCCTTAAGGATATCGGTTCTATTTGAATAAGCTCAGAACAAACAGAAGTTGATAAATTCCGTGGCAAGTTTAAGGAGACACATTTGCATTTCTAAACCTGCACGATTGCTTTTTAACAGGGACTCTCAAAGTTTTATGGGTTTACTTTTGCTGGAATTTCATCATGCCGTATCGACACTCGTTATATCTTTTCTTTTTACGAAAGATAGGCACAATCTTACCCAAATTTGCAACTGATATTTTGTTAGAATTGTGTACTTATTTAGAATAGAATAGAATAGACATTTATTGCAACGCCACAACACATAGATACAAAAAAAAATATTGATACCACTTAGACAAGCAAAACAAAACAAAAAGACGTAATTAACAAAATTAAAATAAAATAAGACAATAACAAACAAAGAGCAAAACAGAAAAATACTAAATATAACAACCACAAATGTTGTACTGTCATGTGTGCGGTTGTGGCGTACGCAAAAGGACTTCAATCAGCTTATGCCACAGCCGCAATTGACTGTGGCGCTGGTTTTCAATGAGCCCTGAGCTGAGATGAGTGACGGACGTGTGTGTCGCAAAATAAAAATAAACTGCTTAAATAATTGCGTATGTGTTCTTTGTACGTTGTGTTAATGCTGTGTGTTATATTATAGATCGCAAAAGTACTTAAATATAGCAAATATATACCTACTGTGTGTGTTTATAGTGTGGTGACGTAATTACGTAATAAATAAAATTATACAACTCGTTCACTCCAAGTCGGGTTAGACGAAAGATGAAGGACGCTATTTGACACCGGCACATCGCCGATCGCACGTTTGTTTTGTTTAATGCAACTTACTCCTATTTCTACCATAATTCTGTATAGGTCATTAATATGTGATTATTCTGTTATTATTTTATTTATTAATTTTACCAAAAATACCGCTTGTTCCGGGTACAAACAACTTTGACGTTGGGCGAATATCTTTCTCAACTTTGACGTTATTCCATGATCGTCATCATATACAGCCTGACTTCACCCACTGCTGGGTATATGCCTCCAAGTTTCTGTACCACTCCCCACGATCCCGTGCCAATCTCATCCAGGTTCGCCCCCCAATTCCTGCGATGTCATTAGCCCATCTCGCCGCTGGACGCCTGACGTTCCTGTGTCCAGTCCTTGGACGCCATTCAATTATCGCCTTACTCCATCTGTCATCTTGTCTCGCCACTTTAGCTTCGTGATGCGGTTCCCCATGTCCTTTACCTTAGTTCGAATTCGGACTGGACATTGGGAACACGGTCTATAAGCTTTATACCGAGCATGACACGCTTCATGGCTCTCTGTGCAACTCTCATCCAGTAAACAGCCTCCTGCGTGAGCGTCCATGTCTCGGCACCGTAAGTCATAGTAGGCAGAACACACTGATTATATAGACGAGTCTTCAGACATTGTGGAATTTTAGCTGACTTAAGAATGTCGTCCAACTTGCCAAACGCGGCCCATACAAGCTGAATTCTTCTGGTGATCTCCTTCACTTGATGCTCCTTGCCAAAAGATAAAATATAAAGTACTTGGTACTTGGTGCAACGGGCTGGTATATAAAATAATCATTTATTTCATAGGTAAAATTTTTACACTTGGAAACGTTTTTTTAAGCTACTTTTTTAAGCAACTGCTCGTTCACTACGCTAACCTCCCTGAGAAGAACGAGCAAGAAACTCTAATGATTGCTCTTTTCAAGTAAACTTAAATGCTGTGGAGTACATTTTGAATTATAATTGTGTGGAATCTAGATTCTTATTGTCTTTCCATACTTCTTTATCTAAAACATACTCTTCAATTTTGTAATATGACTTTTCAATTAAAATACTTTTAATGTAAGTTTTAAACCTAGGAAATGGTAATCTTAATATATTCTCCGGAATTTTATTGTAAAAACGTATACAGTTCCCCATAAAAGAATCGTTTACCTTAGTGAAACGAAATCGTGGTACTATAAGTTTGGACTAAGCTCTAAGGTTAATATTATGGATATCTTCTTTCTTAACGAAAGTATGTATATTTAGACGGGCATAGAAAATATTTGAATAATTGTACTGTGATGCCACAATCATGATACCAGTCTCCTTGAACATTTCTCTGAGAGAAACCCGACAACCTAAACGGCACACTCCATTGTTGAAACTCGAAATTACCCGAATAAAGGTGATTATGAAGGGTATAAATATACCAACCGTTCTGATCGAGTTCATTCTTCGGCCGAGTGTCGAGCAGTCCCACATCTTTCTACATAAGTTTTGTTTATAATACCCCTGGCTATTAACCTCTTGGTTATTCGGGAAGGACACTATGACCTGTGCAAGCGAGCAATCAACAAATTACAGATTAATGTGCAATCTGTGCAATATGCAGGAACTCCTGGATCAAATTGCACATACATTAGAACACTACCCCTCCATTAAGCGGCAAAGCCTGGTTTCTGCCCAAACGATTACGCAAAGAGGGTTTGCCGCTTTTTAGGCCAAAAGGCTTTACTTTGATGGATTTAGTGTTCCCACGATGGGGCTAGATAGTGTATTTTCGCATAAACTTCGATAATATCTTTTTATTTAATGTACATAGCTTACTTGGTTTGGTAAGTAAAGACATTTTTTTAACGAACGGACATCTTAATCGTTAGTATCGTTCAATCAATTATTTATATTCTTATAACGAGTTTTTCTTTAACAAAAATAAGTGCGCATCTTGACCTCCATCTCGCCCGATGGAAAGTGACGATGAGGACGAATAATAATAACGCATACACTCAACGTAGCCCAGTAGTGTGATTCACGTAAGTTTAAGCTATCAAAATATCGTTGAAGTTACGTAGTAGTTCGATAGACGTCCTATCCAAAAATTCACGTATCACTTGAAAGAACGTTGATATGAGTAGAATCGAAACGTAACAACCAATGAACGACATCTTGGATTGTGGAATTTGACATTTAATCGTCGAAAGTCTATTGAAAGAACTGTCAAAATTTTAGCAAAATACGTGTGACATGTCGTTTAAAGTCGATTTAAGTTCCATTCATATACCACGCTTTAACGACATTTGGATCGAACGACTTTAAAATAGGACTCGTTGACGTTCACTGTCACACGTGAATACGAAAAAGCAGTTCAACGTCTAAATTGCTACGATATCGTAACGGTTTGATTGCGTGAATCACCCCCCAGCACACACTACTCCTAAACTCACCAGAGAAATAAATGTAGGACATGCAAATAATTCTCCCGGGCCGGGAATCGAACCTTGGTACCTTTGGCAGTTCGGCATGGTAACCGTTCGGCCATAGATGCAGTTAATGTTAAGCTAAATGTGAAAGCGAAACGTATCGAGCGAGTCCTAGGAATATCCACAACCTAAAAGATAAAAAAGTAAGTACGGTTACTTTTAAGTAATGAAAACAAACAAGAGCTGTCAAAAATGACAGATGCAGAGGTATTTAAAAACATTGACAATCGCAATCACTCATCGCCGTTTTTAATGTACAAAAGCTTAAACCTTGGCTGTCAATAACCATAGTGCAGAGGTGCGTGACTCGTTGTTGTGTACGGTTGGTAACAACTGTAATACAAGGTCGATGACCTCTGGTAAATTTGTAATCCCAAGAGTAACTAACCTTAAAGAAACGTATTCCATACATACTAAACAGCTTACCAGAGGTTATTAGACATGAAACTAAAAAATTTAAATTTAAAAAAATGTTGAAAGTGCATTATTTCACAAATTATTGTCGAATAGTTAATAATCATATTGTTTAAGTATTTTTAACAACATTAGTGTCAGTTTGTAACTTTTTGCTTAATTTTTTTTTTTTTTTTAATAATAATAACGCTCACAATCAACATAGCCCCGCACTAGGGAAACCCTGTGTCGCGGGTGCCATGGACACACATATAGACAACCACAAATTACACCCAAACTCACGAGAGAAATAAATGTAGGCCATACAAATATTTCTCCAGGCCCGGGAATCGAACCTGGGACCTTTGCGTGGCAGTCCGGCATGGTAACCGTTCGGCCACGGAGGCAATTGAGACTCATTTCGATCCTGCAGTCAAACGGTATATACAGTTTTGTAGGACTATGTTTATTTAAATATATTGTACCCCCCTTTTCTCAAATTCAAATAAATAAATATTAAAATAAAAATTATGCGACAATATGATAATAACACAATGTTAAAAACGATGAAAACCAATACAAGAAAAGAAACAATATATACTATTACTAACACTATATAGTTTCGAAAACTACAAACATGATACTCCCATGAAATGGCAACAAGCACTGGCGTTTGTCAAACGGATTGAATTTAAACTAATTTACCATTAAATATTGCCGCATGAAAAATGACACTTTCTACTTTAGTCGGATGCATTGTGTTCGCTAGAAGCCTATTGTTTGAAATCTCTGAAAAATGAAGTACTTTTTTGGTGATATTTTACAGCGGGAAAATAAAATATCCATCAAAAAATATTATTAAAATCATTTCAAATTATCTTAATATACTTAAACTCCATAGAACGAAGTGTTGTCACCTGTTATTTGAATGGAATGTATGAAGAAATCCAGTTACAGACACCAAATGTTCTATAAACAACCTTTTTTATAGTTTGTTTACATTTCTTTAGTTACGTAAAAATTTTAAAAAAAAAACAAAACTTTTTTCTTCGAATATGTTACAAGTCTGTGGTCATTTTAAAAATAACATTTTAGCCTTTAGAATAATAACGCGTAGAAACCTAGCCCGCACACGCTAAGTGAGGCAAATTGAAACGCGCCAAAAGGGCCTACACGAGCGGTCGGGTCTTCGGTGCTCAAGGTCAACTTGCACCGCGAACAGATCAAGAATTTTAGCTAAAAATGGCGAAATGTGCGGTAAATGAGTGTAAAAATACGTCAGACAAACATAAAATAGATACTAACATCACATTCCACAAGGAAATAACGCGTTTCAACTTGTATTTTTATATAAATATTCGCTAAAACCGAAAATTAACCTACTACTAAAACTACCTACATGAATTTGATTTTTGCCTCACTTGTGACAGTTCGTTTGATATGAAACTATCATTCTATGTGTTATTATTCTAAGATTTTAGCTTGCATTTTAAGAAAAGTTTCAGACCTGTCGAATGGAAAGGATTTCTTTTTGTAATAAGTGACAGATCGAGCGTGATAAGCGACACGCCTGTCTATAGCAGTTGCAGTGTCACTTAGAGTTTTAAATCGCAAAGGTCGGGGTGATACTGCCACTGTGCCCGTCACCCAGAGACATAAGTTGACAAGTCCCATGTGACTGTAATTTCACCAGCACCCTTACCCTTCAAAACCGGAACACAGTAATACTGATATTACTGCTTGGCGGTAGAAATAGGCAACAGGCGTATAGCTTACCATCCGTCGCATAACTTGTTCGTATTTATAAAAGAAAAAACAACCGATGATGAAAATATAAACTAAAAACTATATTTTAAAATTACTTGAAAGACCTAGACTAGACTTGTCGCTACTACTAGACTGAAAAATACAGTCCGCTTGAGAACTTATTCGTTTTTAAAGTCGGTTAAAAATACATGACAGTATTGCAGAATAGGAATCCTGTAAAAGCACTACAATGACACACACAAAAAAATGTCGATTGATTAAAAAAAATTATGTATTGATTTGGACCTTATAAAACGTGAATGAGCTAAATCTTCTCATTAAAGGAGTTCCATGCGTAGTAGATGGACGTATAATGAGTTAATAATGATGCAAACCAACAGCCTGATGGCCCACCTCATAGGATACAGCTACCGCCGCCTGTATGGACATGAATACGGGTTCAAACCAATTTGTCGACATGCGTTCACCCAATCTGTATTAAGCTCCTGTATCAAAGCCTGCTTATGGTACGTGAGGCGCACTATAAGTTTCCGGTATGAATAAGAAAAAAATACTAGAAATGGTCAAAAATGAACTTATCGTTTCTCAAAATATTCTCCGTTAGCGTTAATGCACTTTTTCATACGAATGAACCAATTTTGAAAACATTTATGCCACTCCTCCGTGACAATCTTTGAAACAGGTGATGAAAATCGTTGACCGCGTAACTGGTTATTAATTTTTGGAAATAAATAAAAGTCACAAGGTGCCACGTCGGGACTGTACGCGGGATAGCTCATAAGGTCAACGTTGTTCACCTTCAAAAATTCATTTGTTTGTCTGTCTGAGAACTGGCATTATGATACGGCGTTTACGGTTATTTTTACGGAGTTTGTTAATAACTTCCGGCAAACAAATGGTCGTGTACCAATCATTATTCACGGTACAACGATTCTCCAAAGGAACAGTAGCCACGTGTCCAGTTTT